GTGGGAGAGGTCCAGGTTGGATATTAGGAAAAACTATTTCCCTAGGCGGGTGGTGAAGCACTGGGATGGGTTCCCTAGGGAAGTAGTGGAGTCTCCATCCCTAGAGGTGTTTAAGTCTCGGCTTGACAAAGCCCTGGCTGGGTTGATTTAGTTGGGATTGGTCCTGCCTAGAGCAGGGGGCTGGACTTGATGACTCCTGAGGTCTCTGCCAGCTCTAGGATTCACACACCCGCACCTGTCCACAGGGCAGGTAATCATACATGCTACATTGGGTGCAATAAACTGGATAGCCCCCACTCTGTTGCTGGGCTTCTGCCTGCATTCTCTTTACTCCTAGAGCTAATTTCTTTCTTGATGGTTTTCTTTTTAAATCAGGTGGTTTTGGTTTTAGTTTAAAGAATATTAAGTGTATGAATGGGGCTAGCTACTCTTCCTCTAAATTCCCTTGCAAAACTCCCCTATTAGCTGTTCTTGTTTGCTAGCTCCTCCGTCTGGAGCAGCACAAAGAATGAATAAATCAAATAATATGTTTGGCCTTTAAAAGAAGCCTTATATTCACTGGAGCTATATAGTTTCAGTTAGAAATTGGTTGGAGCAGCTGTTCCATTCACTGTTCTTTTCATATTATTACAGATAAACAATCCAGCAGTGCTGCTCTGGAGACACAATTAGCACTTCTTCAAACAGAGGGCGCTAAGATTGAAGAAGACACTGAGGTAACAGCAGTACATATATAGCACAAATAAGAGATTCTGCTACTCAGCTGGTACTCAACGCTTTGAACATACACAATTGTAATATACTATTAAATAACAATATAGCTCTGATGGTTTTCAAAGAATAGGGTCCAAACCATAACTTCAAACTTTGGCAAACAGCTAGTTGAGTTCAGTGGTAATTATTGTGTATGAGTAAGGATTGCAAGCTTACGTTAAAAATCTTTAACGCATATATTATAATTCTTCTATGCTGCATGTGGAAAGCATGCTCAGGCCCAATTGACAGACACACAGCTATGGGGTTCAGGTGGTGAAAAATTCATGGAACATTCCATTATGATTCTTTCATATCTGTCTAGTATCTAGTTACCTCTCGCTGTGCTCAAGTTTTTAGCAGCATTGATGTGGTTGGTTATATTTGTGAATAGCCTGTGGGATACTGGCTTCTTTTCACTGCACTGCTTGTTAGGAGTAATAACCAAACCTATTAAAGCTTTCTTATAATTCCAAAAAGTCATTTTCAGGGCAAATTATAATTCATTATATTAAAATGTCTGGTTACCTGTTTAGAGTACAGTAGCATTTACCAAAGCCTCACTTTGTCCAAGCATTAAGCATGGGTAGACTAACAATATGATTTAATATTGATCTCTGACTCTTACTTTACTGGTGCTGACACCAGTTCTTGCACGGAAGGTTCTATGTAGGGGTGTAAAATACTGGTTAGGTAGTTAACTACATCGGGGGCCATTCCGGCTGGGCTGGAGAAGCCACTACTCTATGCTGCGGTGCAGTGGGCCCGGCTGGGTTGGAGCAACATCCTGCCTACAGCAGGGACGTGGGCAGGGAGCTGCTCCAGCCTGGCCAGGCCCAACGTGGCATGGGCTGCTTCAGACGGCCCTGACAGGGCCTGGTGCGGTTGGCTGCTTTAGCTCAGCCGGGCTGGAGCACCTGCAGCATGGTTTGGCTGGGCTGGAGCACTGAGCGATTGGCCTGGCCAGAGTAGCTCCCCACTAGGGTTGTAAAATCCCCATTTAATTGGTTAACCAATTAAACATGATTGGTTAACCAATTTAAAGTGAAGTGGGAGAGTGAGCGTGGGCTGGAGCCTCCTCTCGGTTGGCTGCTTTAGCTCAGCCGGGCTGGAGCACCTGCAGCATGGTTTGGCTGGGCTGGAGCACTGAGCGATTGGCCTGGCCAGAGTAGCTCCCCACTAGGGTTGTAAAATCCCCATTTAATTGGTTAACCAATTAAACATGATTGGTTAACCAATTTAAAGTGAAGTGGGAGAGTGAGCGTGGGCTGGAGCCTCCTCTCCCCCCCGCTCCCAGGACACAGGCAGGGCCCTGCTGGAGCAACCCCTGCATGCAGCCCACTGGGGTTCATTGTGGTCAGGGCCTGCTCCGGCTGGGCTGGAGCACCCTTGTCCATGGCAGGGT